CGCGGGTCGTTGGAATTATACCCGCCCGTTTTGCTTCCTCTCGCTTCCCGGGCAAGCCACTTGTTCAGATCCTCGGCAAACCCATGATCCAGGTCCTACTCACGACCCTCTTTACTTACCCGCCCCTCAATTTTCTATATTTTTGTGATTAAATTTTCATTTCTGGAGATTGTTGCAAAAGGTTGACGATTCATGATTTATTAGTTCCCAACTTTCCTGGCGTTGTTTTATGTTGATTGTTCATTTGAATATCATCACCACGCTATCCAGATGGTGAAAAAATAAACATCGAAAAAAGATGAATAGAAAGAAAGTGTGATAAACCTTGGGAGGCTATATATTTTTTGCATGAACTGCTACTGAGATTTTCTTATGCTGATTTATCAGAGAACATGGGAAAGGGCTAAAATGGCTTCCTCATTGGACCATGTTGGTAGGGCTTCATCTTGTATAATCTGTTGTGCATTTATATGGTGTATTCTATATTTTAGGCTTAATTTTTCTCGTGATTAATTGGATTTTTTTTGTGGTATAGTGGTGGCAACGGATGATGAGAAAATTGCTGATTGTTGTAGAGGATTTGGTGCTGATGTGATAATAACATCAGAGTCTTGCCGAAATGGTATCAGTCTGTTTCCTTTGTTGTGCTTTTCTCTCTAGTTTTGAACGTGTTGACAGTGTAGCTGTATATACTTGCTGATGTGCAGGCACGGAGCGGTGTAACGAAGCTCTTCAAAAGCTGGAAAAGAAGTACGATATTGTTGTTAACATTCAAGGAGATGAACCTTTGATTGAACCTGAAATTATAGATGGCATTGTCAAAGCCCTGCAGGTGAAGTTGGTCATTTTGATTTCTTTTCTTCTACTGGATTAGAACATTAGAACAACAAATAGGCTATTGAATCTCTTACTTATGGATGCCAACAAATACTTAATGCTGTAGAATGTATCTGCAGTAGAAGGTTATATTTGGCTCATTGGGAAGCATCTGATGTTTAAATCTGACTTTCCAACAAATAGTAAGGCGTTAGAAATAAGCTTTTCTCACTCTATGACTTTGTGCGAGTCCAACAGGCCCAACGCTCAGTGACGTGAATTCTCTTATTAAGAAGTATTCCAATTTTTTTTCTTTTGAACCATGCTGAGAGGAAAGGAACTGGGCATAACTCTCAGTGAAGTGAATTTCCTTATTAAGAAAAATTTTGATTTTTCATCTTTTGAACCATGCTGAGAAGAAAGGAAGCTATTCCCATAGCATTTACTAGCTATACACTGGAAAAAAAATACTAGCTATACCCCCTGCTGAGGCATAACCTTTTAAACTTTATTTTCCTGTCAGTTTGTGACCACCAAGAAGTAACCCTCTAAATTAGCTTAGAGATACATATCTATCAGAGCTTGTTTTTTTAAATTACACTGCTTGAGTTTTGTTTTATATTGTAACCAATGTTAACTTCCATTGAATGGTTGATTAGGGTGCCCCGGATGCTGTTTTTAGTACTGCAGTGACTTCCCTGAAGCCTGAAGATGCATTCGATCCGAATCGTGTGAAATGTGTGGTTGATAACCATGGTTATGCCATCTATTTTTCACGGGGGCTCATTCCATTCAACAAGTTTGTGCTCTAAATTCTACGATTCGGCTGCAATTACGCTGCTAATGCTATAGACACTAAATCTGGAATCATTTCTGTCTTATGGATACAGGTCAGCAAATGTTAATCCTCAGTTTCCATATTTGCTTCATCTTGGGATTCAGGTACCGGCATGATATCATTTTGTTTGCACGTGCCACTGTAAGAGCCTAGATTAACCATGTAATTACAAGTTTTGACTCTGTCTTTTTAATGGCCAGAGCTATGACTCAAAGTTTCTAAAGATTTATCCTGAATTGACACCAACACCACTTCAACTGGAAGAGGATCTCGAACAACTGAAAGTCCTTGAGAATGGCTATAAGATGAAGGTGCAATGGAGATTCTCCTTGTTTCTTGTTCTTTTGAATCTTTTCTGTGCTTTATTTTAAGTTTTCTTTCAAATTCTTCTCCCATTGAAATAAGGAATAAAATGAAAAATGGATAAAGTTCATTGCAGCCTTCGTCCCTCATGCTTCCTTTTACTACTTTTGGTGTCATAAATTTTCCCCGGAGGCACAGGATGAGGCAGTTAAATTCCTTGTGTAGTAAAATGGACTCGATCCCCACTTCTGTATAACCTACTGCAGTTATTGCACATTCATGCAGACAAAAAGAAGCATAGATTTGAGTTCATAATAACAGCAGGTTTCATTAATAGAAAGAAAAGCGAAGTTGTCCCACATGAGTTCCTAATTAAGAATAGATTTGATGGGTACATTCTTTATCCTCATATAGTACCCTTTTTATTGTTCTTTTTCGCTTTGTAGGTGATAAAAGTAGACCACGAGGCCCATGGAGTAGATGCCCCTGAAGACGTGGAGAAGATAGAACATTTCATGCGCGAGAGAAACTTGTCGTAATTGTGGATGATTGGAGAAATCATCAAGGGTTTTAAGTGCACAGTTCACTTATTACTTTTAGTTAGAGACAGAAAATAGTTTAAGAACCATGTGGGCGGTAAAGATACATAGTTTCAAATGGTAAAGTAACTGATGTAAATTTGATTTAGTAGTCTGTTTTGTGTTTGATGCTTTGGTCCTAGTGGGGACTCATGACTGTTCTGGAGCTTCTCTAAAAGGGTTCAGAAGTGTAATTTGTTGACTTATTTGCTATATTTGTTTGAGCGAATAAAGCTGCGTCATATTCCGTCTGATCGAGATTGGGAGTTCTTGGTATGTATCAGAGCAGGAAACTGATTTTTGAATTACAACAGTATATTTTGTCATTCTAGTGTTTTGGAATTTCTAATTTAAGACTATTTACTCTGTACAAATTATTAATTCGATGTTGGGATGATATGCAAGAGAAACATTTTACCAAGGTAGTGTTGAGTGTAAGACTGCTAAGGAGTCGAGTTGAGTTTTGAACTTATCGAGTTGAACTTGTTAATGTGCGAGCTCGAGTTCAAGCTCGAGCTTGAACTGAAAAAATGAAACTCGAACTTGACTCGGCTTAGGAAAAGGTGAGTTCGAACTCAACTCGTTTCTGACTTCCAAGCAGTTTGAGTATCACTCCATATTCTGGTTCGCTAGGAGCTTGAAGTGAGCTCGATGTTAATTGATATAGGGATATTTTTATAATTTCACTTCAATTTGAGCTTTTCAAACGGTTCGTTGAGTAATCGAACCTAACAAATGGTTGCTTGAGCTCGATTCGTACATACTAATGCTCGGCTCTAACTTAGTGTTGATCTAGCTCAAATCGAGCTACTCGTGAGCCTGTCAATTTCAACCGTAGTTGTTTGGAATGGAAACTTGAAACTTCTCTGTCTTGTCCTCCAAAAGCCAGAAGGGAGATAACGTCCCGGAAATGGAGCCACAGCAGGGATATGACTACAGAGTGCAAGAGTTGAAGCGTGAAAATAAGAGCGGCGTCCTCAATCCTCATGTCATCATCCATATTTGAAATCGTAGCCTTTGCATTTACTCTGGATCTAAATTAATACTTATTAGTCCTATCGAATCCTTCGAGTGGGCCTTTGCTTTTACTCTGGGTCTAAATTAATACTTAGTGCCTGTTTGATAACATAAAAAAATGCTAAAATTGAATTCATTTAGACATTCAGATATTGTAGGTGTTTGATAAATAAAAATTCACCTGCTGAACTTATTAAGTGGTGCTGAATTTGTATGTATTTTTTTCAGCACAAGAATCGTAGTTGAATGCTTAATTTGATAAGAGTCAAGAGATTTACTTCAACTATTTTATCTTATCTATCAAATATATCCCTGTTTGTTAATTACCTTCAAAATCCTTATTTAATTAAACAACCTAATATTCCCTATTCAAAATCCTTATCTAATTAAACAAAACAACCTGATATTCTCTATTTAAATTTTTTTTTTAACAATAATATTTTTTTGCAGTAATTTTCATCCACAAACATTTATATTTTGATTTTTTTTGTGCAGATAAATATTATTTATGTGATGCAGTTTATCCACACACACGTGGCTTTATGACACCATATCGAAATATTAGATATTGGTTGTCTGATTTTCAAAATGCTTCTCATCCAAGATCAAAAGAATAACGCTTTAACCAAGTACATGCAAGATTGAGAAATGTAATTGAACGTGCTTTTGGAGTATTAAAAGCTCATTTTCCCATTCTCAAAACAATGAAACCATACCCTTTTCCCACACAAAAAAACATTTATGCATTACTCTTCACAATCATTGTTATTTTCATACCTAACAATTTTAAGTTAATTAAACCATAGGTTCTATTTCCTTTTTGGATTAAAAGATAAAAGGGCAAAATTGTATAATTTAGCTTATTAAGCATTAAGTTATGAATATTTATCAAACATTATAAATAGATTCAGCATTAAAATTCAGACATTCATATATCTCTTTTCAGTGTTTAAAATTCAGCAAATTAATTATTTCAGAATTCAGAATTCAAAATTCAGATTCAGTGTTATCAAACGGAGCCTTAGTCCTATTGAATCCTTCGAGTGAATATCCCCAAATAAAAAAAAAAACTTTTTGAGTGAATAAAACTCAAAATAAAGGAGCTGCTAAACTCGTATTTTGGGCCACTACGCCGACTTCTATTTGAAGGTTTAACCACAAGAATGTAATGCATAGCGGTCGAACAAAGCCGCATGATTCTAATTGTAAGAATTTTTCAGGCTTTAATATTGTGATACTATCTAACATTCAATTCAACTTGTTGAAAAGAATACTACTGTATATAGAATGCAACATTTCAGATACATGTAATAAATTAGTACTACACAACCCTTCTTTTTTTTTTTTGAAAAAATTAGTACTACACAACTCAATGATCATGTTGAAAGAAAATTGCCTTCCAGAAAAGGCTGAGGTTAGGGAGAGGGGACACGCGAGGACCACGGCTCTATATTTAACATCTTTTGGGGTACAGAATGAAGTAAGCTATCCTGGGAAACTGGACACTCTTTTAAAATTCATTGCTCCGTCAAATCCCAAAAATGATACCGTACAGTAATAATAATGATTCAAAGCGTGTTGTGTTCAATTCATATAGCCTTTGCGGATACTCATGTTGTATGTTACTGTAGTGAAATTCATAACCAGAAGCAGAAGAAGCCAGCAGGCCACAGGCAGGGATCCAGAGAGAGCAGGGGGTTAGGCAGCTGGATGATGAACAGGTATGTATATCTCTTGTCAATCAACAAGCAGATAAGACATGTCAAATTGTCCAATTGCTCCCCTTGTACCAAATCCCTGGATTTCGTTCCCTTTTATTAGTCAAGTGCCCATCTGAACTAATGCACTACTGTCCAGTCGAAGGCCAAATAATTGCAGAAACAAAAAGACAGAATAAAAAAAAATGGGAAGAAGAAGCAAATTTCATACTCTCATTTGTCATTTCCTTCTTGGATTGGGTGATGATTGGATCACATTTTAGACAAGATCAAAACTTTAGAGCTTCTTCTTGCAGAAAATAAGGACAGGAATTAACTATGTACGACTAAAAATGCAATTGAAGATAAAAAGCATCGCATTTGCATTCGTTACGCTGAAACTCTGACAAAGTCTAAGAAGCCCTAATACTAAATTACTAATCCTAAAAGCAAAGATTGTCAACAGTGCTCAATTTTTGGTTAGTTGGGGGCGGGGGTTGGGGGGGGGGGTGCTGGGTTGTTGGGGCTGGGAGGTGTGAAATATCGTTCAGTTCAATTGATAACCAGCTGAACTTCAGTCTTGAATAGAAGAAAAGACAGCGAATCCAAAGAGAAATACACAAACCCGCCTGGTGAATGTGTGACAAATGACCCGAAACTCTTCCCCACTACACAGTGCCATGCCGGCCCATACAACCCATCAAACTCCTGTGTGATTTTAATAAATCAAATCAACAACCGACAACTATTCATTAAGGAGTTCGAAAATTCATTTATAATTGATGGGTAGTTGTTAGTAATATTCAGTACCTTTTTGAGGGAACGAGCGAGGAGGGCGGGGCTAAGTCGATGAGTCTGAGGAGTGGCGGCACCGGAGGTACCAGCAGCGACGAGTGATCGGGTGTAGCGGAGTGCATGCTCTTGCATGGACACGGGCATGTCTGAGGTTCTTAATCGCACGTTTAGGCTGATTGCTATGGCTGCTAGCTTCAGTTCTTGTTCTGATAGAGAGTTGTTGTTCTTCTCCTTGCTGTTGTTGTTGCTTTGATCAGAAACAACAGGAAGCTGCTGCTGCTGCAACATTTGTAATGGTTTCTGAGGTCTTGACTTAGAGGAAGCTGCTGCTGCTGATGAGAATTGCATGACTTTGGGTTGGGACTGCTGATGGGATTGAGAAGGCTTATTTTTGGACTTGTTTTGAGTTGTTTCTTTCATGATTGTTAGAGGCGTATGAAAAGAATTGTTAGAGGTGGATAAAGACACGAGAGAACTAGAGAAGAAGAGTTGTAGAAGCAGAGTTGAACTTTTTGACCGGGGAAATATGTGGAGTAGTTGGGGTTGGAGGATTGGAAATTGGAATATAAAGAAAGATTTGAACTTTGACTGACAATACATGGTGATAGAGACAGCAGCAGGCGAAAAAAAAAAAAACAGATGATAATCCAAATAGAGAAAAATGCAAGACCTGCAAGAATTAATAATTAGACTTGGTTGTGTTTATTGCAAGTTCATTTTTTTTTATTTTCAATTTTCTGCAAGGCTTTCTGTGTCTATTTGGATTTTGAGGATTAGAGTTGGTGCTCCGCCCGGTGAAGAGGAGGAAAAATACAAGTACACTGGACACTGCCTGGGGGATGGTACACAAGAAAAGTGTGGGATCATCAAACCACATAAATGGTGTGGGGCGCAGCAGTTGCTGCAGCTGCGGACCAGTCTAATTTTGTAGTACCAGCCAGTTAGGTTGGTGCTTTCCCTTTCCCATTGCTGAAGATTTCTCATGAATTACCAGCCGGAGTGACGGTTAATCAATCAACCCTCTTATGGTTGTTTTCCATTTTGCACTGAGCTAAGAGTAGATGATGAGTTTAACTTCCCCCTCAGAGTTCTCAATAATGCACTCCAATTACAGTGAATGTTTTTGAAACATTTCACTGTAACTGCATATACGAAAAATTTTTACTATAAAAATTTTTAAAAATTTTTAATATATTATATGAATGAAATATTTTTTAAATTATTATGCATTACTGTAACATTTTATTTGAAAAGAAAAATTTGCTAAATTGATCCCTAATATTTTCACAAAAAATTTTTTTAATCCCTAACATTTAAAATCAGTCAGAATAGTTCCTAACATATAAATTATGAACCAATTTGATTCTAATGCTCGTATTTGCTCATTTCTCTGATTAAAAATAGCACACCTCTATCACGTGGGTATAATTTCAAGGGCAAAATCGAAAAACATTCGTTATCCATGGTTTTACAGGCAAAACCCTTTTTGGATTCCTATTAATTTTCTCCCTTCCCTCGACACCATTTTGCAAACTAGCCGGAAACTATCAACAAATTTCACCTTCTCAGTCAAAGCAGCTTTTGCACTTTCCTTGATTTCCCGACTCCCGTATCAAACCCCCAAGCCCTTCTTCAATTTCACCATACCTCTCAAAATAATTCAACAAAGTCTCAGAACTCATCTCAGTTGGTTGGTATATTCTCCACCAATTTTATTGCTAACAAACCCATCAATTTTATTGCTGGGGTTTTCTAGGGCAAGCAAGAAAGACTCAACATTCTTGAAAGTAACAAAATCATAGACTTTTGATAAAAATCTTGCGGTAGGATGGGATGTCATCAACGATGGAAATAACGGTATGGAGAATGCTATGATGGACAATCGCAACTTCTGAAGGATTCAACAATTTGGGATTTCGTGAAGGATTGCAAAACGCAAAATTTCACCTTCTTCGAACTTCAAGTTTTTTGGTTCTCTTGAGATCATCAGGCTTTGGTTTAGTGGTGATGGTGGAATGCATCTGATAGAGTAGGTATAAGGAAAATGACTCAAGATTGACTCTAGGAGGAATGGGTGGAGTTACGGAAGAGTAGGCATTGAGAACTTTTAAACTTTGAAGAGAATATTCTCTTTCTTTCAGAGTCTAAAGCCATGGATTAACGAATATCTTTCGATTTTGTCCTTAAAATTATATCCACGTGACAGAGGTATGTTATTTTTAGTTAGAAAAATGAGCAAATATGAGCATTATGATCAAAATGACTCATAATTTATATGTTAGAGACTATTCTGACTGATTTTAAATGTTATGGACTAAAAAAAATTTTTACGAAAATATTAGGGATCAATTTGACAAAATTTCCTTTGAAAAAATATCCAATCCAAACGGAGAGATTTTTTGTCCGTTGGCATCGTCCATTTTTAGTGACAAGATATTAGTCCAACGTCAAAGGAATCAGAGCACAGTGATGTGTTCTGCTTCTACATGCTAAGGTCCTTGTTTCAATGATTGCTTTGTCATTAAATTTTCTTTTTTGAAATGCTCTTTGGACATATTTTAAATTTTTTTTTCTCGCATACATCATCATATAATTGTGTTTGGATTACATTTTTTTAAATTTTTTGTAAAAAATTACTATAACGATTTGATATATGTAAAGTAAAAAGATGATTGAGAAATGTGTTCATGAAAAATGTAGCAATTTTTTTTTTGGAAACTGACAGTCCAAACAAGGCCTTTTATCTATAAAAATTACGCCAAACTATTGCCTTGACATATCTTGAGATATTATATATGTAAAATAATTTTTTTAAAAAAAATTGTAACCATGATCTAAAAAAATGTTCAATGGATTTTTCAAGAATGTAAAAAGGGATAATTTCAAAAACCTCGCTTGACACCTAATTCCCCTATACTTTTTAAAATCTCAATTAGCACCCTTGAAATGATAGTATGGCCATATACTAATATCAAAGGTGATGAATTGTCAATAATGCCATCATATTTAAATTTTCTGAACTTGTTTTTCTTTCTCTAAATTTCTTACTTTTCTTTAACAATGTCAATACAAACATACATATATATATACAAACATATATATACATATATATATGTATGTATGTATACATATATACAAACATACATATATATGTATGTATGTATAATTAAATTGCAAATGTCAATAAAATATAGGATTTAATCAATGAAATATTCAATGCATTTGGAGAAGAATAGCTGCAGGTTCTTTTTATTGTTTTCCTTTTTGGTGTTTAATAACTTTATTTATTTATTCTTATTCATGTAGAGCGCATGAGAAATAAAGTAATTGAAACTCCAAATAGTTTTTCAAATTCTGACTTTTTCTATAATAAAATTTTCATATTTTACACTCATAAAAAAAGTCTGTCTATTTTGAGTAAATTTTTTGTATGATATTGAAGTTGAATTTCATCTGTTACTAAGTTTTTTTTTGCTCAAATGTATGATTTTACATGTTAATTACCTTCAACGCTATGAAGGGTTTTATTTGTAGAAATGATTTAAAAAATAGTATTTGCTTTTACTATCTCTTTCTACCGTAGAAGTGACTATTGGTTGTAATTTAAAATCTAATCAATTTTCATCTCCTCACTTTTAAGATGGTTTCAATTTAGTACTTTTTTTTCCTTGGTTTGTAAAATGTTCATTTTTTTATAGCCTAAGGGTATTAAAGGCACTAAAATAATCTCTCTCCTCAAACATGAATTTTTTAATATTACTTTTAGTTAGAAGGGTTTCCAATGTTACCAAAATGTCAATTCAAGGGGTGCTAAGTGAGATTTTGAAAACCTCGAAGGAGCTAGGTGATATTTCATAAAACCTCAGGGGAGGTTTATGAAACTATCCCATGTAAAAACAAAACCAGGAGAAAAAACAATAATAAGTCCAAACAACGAACGAGTGACACGTGGCCCGATATTCCCCACACTCCTCATCCATCTAATCTCATATCCCCAACACTCCAACAGACTCAACTCCGCCACACACATTCACACACACACACCACTCTTTCCTCCTCCACTTCATTTTTCCTTTGTAAATATCCGAATCAAAAATAAAACCAAAAAGAATCGAAAAATCAAAGAATCGGAACCAGAAACTTATCAACAAAACCTCTGTTCTCCCGGGATGGCAGGCGTTCTCGAAACCCTAACCGTACCACGCGCCGCGTCTCTGCCCTCAGCTTCCTTGGCTCCCATCCCCGGCTCTCCATTCTCTACCAGCCGCATCAGGTTTTCCGAGTTTAGAGGACTTAAGATCCAGTCGACTAGGCCGTCGTCCTCCGCCTCGCTCAGTTCAAATGCCAGACTCGCTCGCCGTGGAAGTCGAATTGTTTGCGAAGCTCAGGATACCGCTCTAGTAGGTTAGATTATTTCGAACTCTTTGCTTTTGCTTTTTAGAAACGGTTCTTTGTTTTTTAGCTTCTGTGTATACTCATGATATCTGAAATCGAAGTTTATATTGAATTGGATTGTTTGTAGCTTCTTTGTTTAGGTTGATTTTAAAATATGTGCTGGAATTTGCGTGAATCTGCTTGGCGAATTTTATGCAGGAGTTGAGGTGGTAATTTCTGTTCGACTGTCGAACTTAAATTTGATTGAAGTGCGAAATTCGCTTGTAGCTTAATCCAAAGTCACTGGTAATATTCGCTTTTGAAAATGTGACTGGAGAATTGTGTATCTACTGTCGTGCAACTCAAGAGTTAATCATAGCGAGAATCTTTTCCCTCAGCATCATTCAGAGCAAGCTAGAATTGTAGTCAGGAAAAGCAACTTGCAATTGAGAATTATAGTAGCAGATAATTTGACTCGTTACACGCATATGGTCCGAGTCTTTCTCTAATCTTAGTTAGGACGGTTACTAATAAATTGTATTTGTATTCAGTCTATCTGGTTCCTGTCGTGGGGAGTTATTCCTCCTTTTGGGAACTAATTTTATGGAATTATTAGTTTTAAGGGACTGTGTACATTTCTGACCGTCTTATATGAAGATCTCTAGGACGTTATTGGTTAAGTTAGGGGCTTATACGACTATAAGCTAACTTCAATTTGATGTTTTCTTTTCCTGTTCTTTTGTTTGCTTTACGTTTTCATTTGTATGTTGTTTCCACAAACTTAGCTTACATAGTATAGTCCTTTCCCTGAATAGTTGGATTTTAAGGAGTTATTGTGCTCAAAGTGCAAACTTCATCTTAGAACTTCGCTGGAAACATTTTATATAGAAATGCATTCTTAAGGTGGAAGAATAGTTTCTTTAAAAATATCAGGCTCTGAAATCATTATTGAATTTGCAGACCCTGGGCGACAATCTTTGTGAATGACATAAGCAGCCAATTTTGTTTTTCTTGTGAGCTTCTTGTTTTGTATGTCTATTTATGCTGTCTGAGAATGCGTAAATAGTGAAGAGTAGTTGCAGGAACCAAATATGCTCTCATTAGACATGTAGAAAAGATTTATCTGACAATGGTAGGGCTTCCTATTCTAGAGAAGAACTTTTTGGTAGTTTTTCCTTACCGGTGTTTGTAAGCATATCCCCTATGTGTATGTGTTGTCTTCTTCTGTATCCACACTTATGGTGTATGTTGAATCTGTATTCTTCTTCATAATTGATGAATCAAAATGGCAAACTAGTATAGCTTAGAGCGCTGATAAAAGTAAGATTCTCGTCTTTTGAATAGTGATTTCTTGCAATTCCAATTGTGGCTACAGAGAGAAGTATATGGAAACAAAAATGATGGCTGGTGATCTGCTCCTATTCTCTATGTTGGCTCTTGAAAATGGATCTGTTGTTGGTTATTATCTTATCCTGTTTTGCAATATCTTTTTCCAAAGTCCAAGAGTTTATGTGATATTGGCTTAGTGCTCATATAAGTTTTAAAACAAATACATTATAATTTGATGCTTTCTCCTTCTTTATCCAACCACCAAATGAGATGTTACTTTGAGAGGCAGGCGCTGGTGCTCTTTTAAGTTT